AAAAGTTGAAACTGCATGTCATTTTATTTTTAAATGTCAAGTTAAGTCATTAGCAGCAGATAGCTTGGAGATATCCGTACTATTTAGAGATTGGATTAATGGCGAGAGAAGGAGTTATGGTCGTCCACCTCTACCGACCAAATTTGAAAATGACGTTGATGAAATAATGCAAGATTTTAGTGATGACGGCATTGATGCAATGGAAGAACTAGCTAATCAACCAATTCCAGAGCATGTTAGTAGAGAAATGTTAAATGATTTAAAAAAAGATTTCCTTGGTAGCATGAACTATTAAATTTAAATGTCTATTAGTATGAGTATAATAATTCGAGGTCTAATTCAAACAGAACCCTTCCTAGAAGGTGGCTGTGTAGATTAGATTTTTTAATACTCTACTAATATTTTGTAACTCAACTTGTACTATTTAATTAATATTAATAAAAGTATAGGCTATTCGCCTTAATTATTTTTTATTATTGTCTTCAAAAGTTCAAATTTAACTTTTAAAGTGTGAAATTTAAATTTTTATAGTTTTAAAGTTTGAATTTAAATTTTCAAACTTTTAAAATTTAAAGTGTGAAATTTAAATTTTATAGTTTTATAGTTTTAAAGTTTATAATTTAAATTTAAATTTTCAAACTTTTAAAGTGTGAAATTTAAACTTTTTATAGTTTTAAAGTTTGAAGTTTTGAACTTTGAATTTAAATTTTCAAACTTTTAAAATTTAAAGTGTGAAATTTAAATTTTATAGTTTTATAGTTTTAAAGTTTATAATTTAAATTTAAATTTTCAAACTTTTAAAGTGTGAAATTTAAATTTTTATAGTTTTAAAGTTTGAATTTAAATTTTCAAACTTTTAAAGTGTGAAATTTAAATTTTTATAGTTTTAAAGTTTGAATTTAAATTTTCAAACTTTTAAAGTGTGAAATTTAAATTTTTATAGTTTTAAAGTTTGAATTTAAATTTTCAAACTTTTAAAGTGTGAAATTTAAATTTTTATAGTTTTAAAGTTTGAATTTAAATTTTCAAACTTTTAAAGTGTGAAATTTAAATTTTTATAGTTTTAAAGTTTGAATTTAAATTTTCAAACTTTTAAAGTGTGAAATTTAAATTTTTATAGTTTTATAGTTTTAAAGTTTATAATTTAAATTTAAATTTTCAAACTTTTAAAGTGTGAAATTTAAATTTTTATAGTTTTATAGTTTTAAAGTTTATAATTTAAATTTAAATTTTCAAACTTTTAAAGTGTGAAATTTAAATTTTTATAGTTTTATAGTTTTAAAGTTTATAATTTAAATTTAAATTTTCAAACTTTTAAAGTGTGAAATTTAAATTTTTATAGTTTTATAGTTTTAAAGTTTATAATTTAAATTTAAATTTTCAAACTTTTAAAGTGTGAAATTTAAATTTTTATAGTTTTATAGTTTTAAAGTTTATAATTTAAATTTAAATTTTCAAACTTTTAAAGGGTGAAATTTAAACTTTTATAGTTTTAAAGTTTGATTTTAAATTTTCAAACTTTTAAATTGTGAAATTTAAACTTTTATACTTTTAAAAGTTTGAAAGTTTGTATTTAAAACTTTAAAAGTATAATTTTTTAAGTGTAATGTTCCTAATTTTTTAATTTTAATAAAAAAATTATAATTTTAACGGTTGGACCCGGTTTCCGGTCCGGTCCGGTCCGGTCCGTTACCGGTCCGTTACCGGTCCGGGACGGGTACACGGATTTTTTTCCGGAATTACCGGTTCCGGTTCGGTTCCGGCCCATGGTGCCCGGTTCCGTTCCGGTTCCGGAACGTCCCGGTCCGGTAGTTCCGTTACCGGTTCCGTTGCCACCCTTAGTTAAAGGGACTAATCTAATGTAGTTTGTCCCTTGCAAGTCTTCTTT